AAGTCTAGTACAAATTAGATCTAATATTTGGGAGGTTTCTGAATACGTAGGTTTGACACGAATACAGATTTTGAATGAAGATACTCGGTGACTTAACTGTTGATACGAAACTGCTAAGACATTTTCTATTACGGCCCAAACACACTTTGTCACAACGACCTGTCCATTTTAAGGTATATCCGATTTTATAAATAATGTACATCAGTTCTGCTTTCTATTTAAAAGTGACATTTCTTTCAAAATTATATCAAGATAAATTTTATCACACAGAAAAAGGCGTGTATTTTTGTCACATGACCAAAATCCCACGATAAAAAAATATGACAGCTAATAAAATCAAAAACACTTTCACAATTGAGCTACGTAATTATTAAATTTTGAGAATGTTTGCTATCAATAATTTTATAACGTTGTACATAAATCTAACATATTTAAAAACCTTAATACTGAAGCAGACAATACTATAATTTTATTTGTTTCGTATGATTTTGAAACTGTTTCAAGGTGTTTTCAAACTAGGTTAGTACTCTTAATCAAATTTTATTAGGGTTATCTAATGAAGAGCAATTAGATTGGCATAGCATGTAGCACACATGGGTGAGAAGTATGTACATAATATTAGTTGGAAAACCTGAAGATTAAATAATTATTTGGCCTATCCGCGAACAGGATGATAATATTAATACTGATCTTAAAAAAATAGCCAATGAGCATTCAAGCAAAATAATATGGCTCAGACTATGTGCTGTTTCCAAGCTCTTCTGAGACAGGCTAATGAATATTTCAGTTCCATAAAAGACAGGTAATATCTTTACTCGGTGAGCAACTATTATCGTATGGAGAAGGAATGTGTTTTATAAACCGAGTGGCAAGCTCTGATAATATGGTGAGTTGTAGGCTTGTTTGTTTAATACATCAAAGGAAGATCATGTTTCGCTTCTGAATATGTAGACGTTAATAATGTATTTGTCTGCTTTTACGTACTCTGAAGTGAGTTCAGATAATCGCATTAGTTATAAAGCTTAACGTAGCACAAGAAATCTACTTAATGGGATTAAAAAAAACAATAAAATGTACCTTTGAAGCGAATGAGGATTTTCGATTAATAATTAATTTTTTATTAATTTATATAAAATGAACTGATTTTATTATCCTACTTCAATGAATATTCGATAAATTTTCCGGTTACATGCACTGTGTCCGAGAAGACTTTTCTACGTATTTTAACACGTCTGTAGAAATACAAGGAATGTTTATAAGCGGTGAAGCTTAATACCACTTTTATAACTTCCAGATCAGCATTTTATATAGACCAAAAATACATTTATTGAAAATTATTGAGAAATATTTAAAATATTTTCTTCACTGTCATATTTAGAACTCTTAATGGAGGTGGACTCATGCTTAATTGTCGTCAAAATGTAGATACAAATTTGAACAAAATATAATTTAAAATCACTATTTTTGTTAGGATTGTGGAGAACATTCTGCATCTCATCTCATCGTGCTGAGACTTAATTTAGGTTGGTATTTAATTTAAAATGAGCTGTTTACTGAGAGATGTAAGCATGTATAAAATTCAGGGAATTTTTTTCTGACTGTTGAAACATTTTTGAAGATCATAAATGTTGTTTAACTTTGATTTACGATGTCACAGGATTAATTTATTTTTGTGTTTTCGTAGATAGTAACTAATTCATTCTGATTATTAATATTAGCTAAAAACTTGTATCAAATGTAATTAATTCTATGGGGGCAAAATCCATTTTGAGAAGATAATAATTATCGTGATAAGGAAAAAAAAATGAAAATCTATTACAGTAGGGTACATACTGGTTATTCCCTTATTGCAATAAATATAAGGGTAGGTATGATTCTATGCACATTAACGTAACTTAAATTTCACTCGTCAGACCAACAGTTGATAACCAAGAATAATCAACCGTATAATTAGCAAGGCTTAAAAGTAAAAACGACTCACTTTCTATACAACTACTTACTTTCTGCTAATGAACTGATAGCAAGACATCGATTATCGCATCTTGATACTCTCGAAAAATAAGCCCTAAGGAAATGGAGCATCTTACAGACATTTCATGTGACCTGTAAAAATCTAAAGAAAGAAACTAACGTCACATAAATCTGAAAGTAGAAATTGCATACGAGACGTCAGTATTTGCTTCTGAATAAACAAACGAAAGTTTATGACTAGTATTTGTGGGTCAAATGACGTCAGGACTCGTGTAAACCAACTACAGAAATATTTTCTCCGTCTTGCAAATCAGATGTTCGGTAGATGTATCTTCGGTGAAGAATTTAACTTTTAGAAATTCTAGACTAACCTATCACAGTTCCAAGAGATACATTTTAATAATCTGAACTCTTACATACGTCAACATTGGTACTTAGTGAATCAGCGAATCTAGTGTAGATGTTTAAAATGACCACCGTCAGCTTTGTGGCACAGCTGACAGCGGACACCAAAGTCTGCGTATATATCATTTTGGGACATTTTATATTCATTAATTATTCCGACAAAAAAATGTGATTACGTTAAGAACAAAACACGTTTTTAAAATTCCAAAAATTTAAGATATACTTTTATGTTTAACGAATCAACTGAAGTGAATAAATATTAATGTAGGAGATCTTTATTATATTTTACTGAACACACAATTGTTTTTGAAGTTCATCGTTTTTGTATCATTCTCTACAAAATGCTTTCTTTCCATACATAAATCTATTTTTATGCACGATTAATGTTTAATCTGAAGCAATGTCTTCGCGCTTAATACTTTACTTTGAATCTGTCTTCAAGAGAGCTAGCTGCTAGACCATACATCGAGTCAAATGGTTCCAGTCAGCTCCTCCCCAATACATTTCTTTAAGATCCAACTTAATATTATCATCCCATCTACCCTTACATGTATGTCCGTGTCTTTTTGTCCTGTTATGTGTAGGTAGAGGCGTTGAATTGGGATGAAAAAATCCCAAACAAATGTTTAGAAATATTCGTAATTTCAGAAATTAATTCTAAACCGGAAGAGGCCAACCAAATAACACCAAACAATGCCTACAACTTGGTACAGACTGTACCATTTAAAACTAAACCTGTCTACAAAAACATTTGTAAACTTTGGTGACATCAACATGGAATTTCGAATATTATTTATTGCCAAGACTTTTTTCCATATTCTGTTCTTTAAAACCACGACGTTTCGGAGGCTCGTTCTGTCTTCGTCTGTCACTCGTCCAGTGACAGAGACTAGCTCTATCTAAGGGACCCAACAGAGTATGTACCTCTCACCTGAAGACGGAGACAGAACCAGCCTCCGAAACGTCGTGGTTTTAAAAAAAAACAGAAGATGTAAAAAAGTCCTGACAATGAAGAATTTTAAGTGTAAACTACCGTCAAAACCCATTAGAATTGAATTTAGAATATATTTGGTATAAATTTTAAAAGGAACATGAAATAAATTCATGGCCTTAATTGTGCATTTTATATCTGTAGTATATTCGAAAAATTCTGACCAGTTCAGTAACATTAATGCTTCAAAAAAAAAAAACATTCAGTTAGCGAGGAGTTAACAATAATGATACCCAATTCTATACAACTTTATCCGCGGAATTATATTTTTCTCAAGTGTTTGAAAACATCTGCTTATGTTATAATGCAGGGGTGGCCAACCCGCGGCCCGCGGGCCGCATGTGGCCCGCCTTGAACATTTTTCCGGCCCGCGAGATTCATCACACTTTTACAAAATATATTTATTAGTATCATTATTATTATATTATCTATGTTTACATGTAAGAATAATAGTAAACACAATAATAATAACTCATTATGTTTCAATTTTTCACTCCAAAAAAATGTCTATAGTGTATCTAAATCTAATATGGGGATATATAATTTTATATGTGGCCCGCGGAGTTATGATGCATTTCCAAAGTGGCCCGAAAGATCATTTGGGTTGGCCACCCCTGGTATAATGAATACTGTGTGTGGGCGTATGAAATTCTTTGACTGAAATCTGCTCAGGAATTAACTCTCACTCTCTGGTTTTATTTAAACCAACTCCAGACTTTTACTATCTTTTTTTTTTTTGTAAGTAAAGTTAAGTGACATGAATAAATGTAACCGGAATTTAATTCTTCCATTACAGACTGCTAATTTTATTTTCGGGATATTTTAAAATTCATTGTAACGACGAAAGATAAAGGTCAGTAACACAGTAGGTCAGCAACTTGTAGGCAGGCTGGTTACCTAGACAATTACCTTTTACCAAGACCAAAGGTGGGAAATTCTCACGCTAAGATGAAAGAAGCACAATTTCTTTCCCGCCATGTTTTTTTTTGTTCATGGATTACGTACAGGAAGAGAACAATGGATCCAAATGACCAGAACGTCTTCTATAGGATATGACGTCTAGATGAAGTTACTGTGATAACATAACACAAATGTTCTCAGAATGATTTTATACAGATAAAGGCAATCACCATGCAACATGTTTGACTTTCGCTAATGGTATCCTACTTCAAATCGACTACAATATTACAATCGATATTAACATACGATAACTATTTCCTTACGAGAATTATAACTGTCCAAATATAGTACTTGTTGAATTATCCCAGCTGCTGTCATTTGATTCACATCTGAAATAACTGACGGTAAAATGGGTTGGGCGATGATAAATTCCGAAACACAAATTTACCTTCGGTTCCACACAATTCTTTTTTTGTGAGATGTTTTAATTTGAACGACATTATATTTTCTTGATAATTTTATAATATCGTATAAACTGGTTTTAATATTTACCGCCTTATTTTCCGTTAGTCATCCATATTTTCAGACGTTTTAAATTAACCAAACGTCATTCCAGCCTGTTTATACTCAATAATCAGGAATATTTTATATTTTGTATTCTGTTGAAATGTTATGACGTGTTATGAATCCCACACAAGAGTCTTTTACTTATTGCGATCCGATATTCTTACAGGTTTCGCAACTATTTCTCATGTGCCTGGTTGTAACGCGGGCACTGGTTCCAGAGGACTGGCTTTCCCGCAATGCATCTCAAGTTATCAAACACTCAGCTATGAGACGTCCCATCCAATACCTGCAACCGCACCAGTCACCAAAAGTCATGACGCCCTTAACACAAAGACATTCATCAACAAGACTTCGTAGCGTAAGCTTCAACGGGCCTCACAGCTCACCAAAGCCGACAGCATACACTCGGGACACAATCTCGCGACCTTCAGGAAACAAACAACACATGAACCCTACGAACGTCAGAGCGAGCAACCAATCATATCACAGCCCACGTTTTGACCACAATCCATCGTCTTTCTCCGCACACAGCCGTTTAGCAGGTCGTGAGGGGAAACCAGTTATTGGTGAATCTTCTACGTCTGAAGGACAACGCATTTCAAGATGGTTAATGTTTCCGCACGGCTCTCAAGAACAAAGGGAGAGGAATCCAGACATGAATAACATCTTACGACCACCTCCACTCCCCCACAGAGACCAAAGTTCCCCTCAAAAATATCAACCTGTTCAAAGTTCAGTAGACCAGACCGCAAGTGGGACACATCAACATCACGCTTTCGTGCCTTACAATTCTTCTCCGCGCCACAAACTTAAAACCACTCAGTGCAACCAATGCAATAAAACACCTTGGATCCCAATGGTCACATCTCATCATGGACCTTCGGATGCAGTCAACGGCCATGTTCCTAGACCAAATATATATCTACCACCTGCTACAATTTCTTCAGGTTATGAATCACCGCCAATTGGATCCTTACCCTTGCAGTCACATGGAACAGAATATGGTCCACCTTTACCTCCTCTGGATACTCAAAATCAATACGAACCCCCTTCACATCCGGAGCCAACTAACGAACAATACGCTGTTCCAAATCTTTCATCTGTTCATCTTGGAAATGAATATGGGCCACCCCATTCGTCCTCCCAACACATACAGCCTGAATATAAACCACCTCACCCGGCAACTGAATACGGTCTTCCTCATCAACTAACAGATGAATATGGTCCACCCCCTCCTCTCCCTCAACAGACACACAATCATTTTCAACAACCACCCTCAGCAGCGTCACATCAAGGAATTCAATACGGACCACCGTCAATAATTACCATAAAGAAACCCGATTATGGACCACCAATTCTATCTCCTCCAAGCGTCGAATACGGAGCGCCTTCTCATCCAATTGACACCGATTATAGACCTCCGTCACCACCGGCAGACCAATATGTAACACCACAACACGACGGAATAAAACAACAGGTTCCACATCAATTATCTCCAATTTACCTACAGGCACCTCCGGTGTTCGAACCCGAATGGTTCAAGGCACAATCCCAGTCAGCCGCCTCACATTACTTAGTCCCTCCGCCAAATTCTGGAGGTAGCAACGCGGACGACCACGGGCACAGTTCAGGTGAACGAGGTCAAGGAGGTGGAACCGGACAGACTGACATCGACGTTGTACAGTCCGTGTCGTTAACAGACGACTCGCATCCAGTGGCATCTCAGCATCCGACAAGCGACTCACACGACGGATCTTCTAGTCACTTATTCCAAAACTCCTCACATCTTCCAAACAACCAGTTTTACTTACCTGAAGGAGAAAATTACGCACCACCAGAAAATAATTATCCATTTCCAAATATACCTCGTACAAACGCCACTAAAGAATCTGGTTATGAAATCATTCCCAGCGTACAAGTGACAGATTACATATCATCAATTGAATATCCTCTACATATCGTCCAATCACCTTACATTGACGTTACAGAAGCTCCTGGTAACAGCGTTAAACAAATCTTTTTTTCAGCACAGTCATCAAACTCTTACGATCAGGGAGAGATTATTATCGGAAAGCCAGCTTTAACCGCTTCAGGACAGAATAACACTAACATACAAAATAGTTATAATACTTTGGACACTGTCACGCAAAACGTGTCTGATATTCGTGACCAAAAACACCAACAATCACAAATACACGAAACGAATAGTTTGGATCAAATCAACGGCGGGAAGCCATCTTTGGATCTAACACCGACTTCTCCATCAAAACCTTTGTCTACAGACAACGCTTACTTTGGAATTGACGACCAAATACATCACCCTGATATAAACGTATTTGGTGAACACGGAATCAGACAAGAATCTTCTCAAAACGAACACAGTTCATCGGATTTTGAAATCCATCCTTCCATTCAGACATCAGCTGAGGGAAATTCCGTTATACATCAGATTAACAACGCTTTCCAATCTGATATCCGCCCGACGACTGAATCGCTTTTACAAAAAACAATTCTTAAGTCACACAATTCTGGTTACGTACTATTTCAAAATTTCCCAGAACCCCCACTGAGTTCCCTACCAGAAAACGTTCTGAAACAACAAATTCCTCCTCCAACACCGTTTCAGAATACATTCCAACAAAATCCTTATCTACCTCCGCTAACTTCCAGTAACACCTTTGAACATTCCCTGAAGACGGAAGAAACCGCTTCATTTCTAAGTCCGCCTCCGAAAGACAACGGAGAATACAATACAGTAATCAACACCGCGACACCCGAATATACGTTCTGGACACCGACATCGCTACCTCACTCCGTTTCCCTGTCGCCAGAAATCGAAGAAAATTCTTGGGAACTAACAACACAAAAACCATCGAAACATTATAATCAAGGTGTAATATCGGCTTTTGCAGAAGCAGCTGGTCTCCTTCCACCACCGCCCTCATTGCCCGAGCCACTGAACCAATCAAATAAGAAACCCAAACAAATACAGATCATAGTGCCATATACCTCAAGCAAGGAACTTATGAAATTTAAATTTCAGGATACCAGTAAACCCTTATTCGACACGTCGGGATGGTTTCCTCTAACAGGTAATGATGAAATCAAACAACAAGGTAGAAAAGCTCCTTCGGTACCTTCATTACACGTGAATTGCACTGGTGATGAACGTTCATGGCAACTGTGCAAAAATATTACTTCACCTCCATGGCAAGATCAAATCGACTACCACCAGCACCAAGAGTCCAGAACGGTCGAAGCAAAAACTTCTATTTTACAGACCGATAAAGAAATTACACGATCATATCCAGACAAGAATAAGACCGAAATTCAACAAGTATTTACTACAAACATCCGCGATCTACTTCGAGGAGAGCAAGATATCAAAGTCCCCGATTACATAACTTTACAGCGTTTACAGAAAAACATCGACGAGTGGACAGCATTGGAATATTCCAAATGGAAATCGCTCGACAGATCCAACGAGACCAAAAACCTCGAAGGAGATAGCCTAAGCACACTTTCTCCGTCTTCTGGAAATCTCTTCAAACATTTATTCGTTCCGTCGAAAAAAATACCCGAAGAATATCTAACGACAACTCCCTCACACTTCGACGACGTCACATCAACTGAAAACTCTGTTGCCACATCTATTCCTGTTTTCAAACAAAGTAGAATTTCGACGGCGATCAGCAACGCAGAGCCTTATTCTGGTAGCAAGACGCATCCAGTGCTACTTAGTAGCAGCGGTGAAAGTGATTACTCGCCAAAGATCAATCACGATATCCCATTAAATCACCAGCGGAAAGGCGATAACCACAAATGGAAATTTATCGAATCAAATAATATAATTCCAGAAGCACTCAGAATAACGACAAAAGAAACATTCTCAGCTACAACAACTCCTTTGACCGAGGATGTGACAAACACTGAAAAAACTACGTGGGACAACATACCCTTATCGATATCACCAGTCACAAATGAGAAAGTTTATATTGTGACTCCCATGACCAACTGGATACCAGAATCCACGACTTCTAGACCATATCAAACAACGCCATATTCAACTAAGACACATTCTACTTCCATAAACGATGTATTCCCGTTCAGAAATGGTCCACCGTCAGCACAGAAACTGGTAGCATTACCACCACTTTCGTTCAAATCTCCCCGTTTTATCATCAGACCAGCTCCAGCGTCAAGTATACAACGATCATATATTCTGTCGCCAATGGAAAATGACAGTGACACCTGGGACGATAAGACGGCTACCTCGAAGCCGATCAAATTGAATAAAATCAATGGAAACACAGGTAAAATCATCAAGGAATATATATATTAATAGTAAAAAGTTTTTAATTTACAGAAATAACACAGCTTAAATCTTACATCTGAAAGTTTAGTATTATGAAATTATTTAAAAATACTATTATGAACTTCCAATATTTTAAGATATTTTAGGTGCGTCATATTGTGATTTATTTAATAGTATTAAAAATATATTAAAATTGGCCGTCAATCACAATATAAGATAATTAAAAGATTAAAATATCATTTTACGTTCCGTATCGAGTACTCGATTTACATGTGGAACATTTACGACATGTTTCGGCTATATATAGCCGAAACATGTCGTAAATGTTCCACATGTAAATCGAGTACTCGATACGGAACGTAAAATGATATTTTAATCTTTTAATTATCTTATATTGTGATTGACGGCCAATTTTAATATATTTTTAATACTATTCCAGTATTTTATAAAATTTGTGTTATTTCTTATATCACAGACTGTAATTTAACTAATTTAAAAGAAATTCCATACATTAATTCGTTTATGAATATTTTAAATCAAATTAAGACACGAACTTTGTTGTTTATAATTACTCCATTTGAGTTATCCAACGTCATTTTAGACTTCCTGTTTATTTATAACAATAATTTCTCGAAATTTTGTACTTCTTCCTTCTTCAGGAGTGAGGATAGCCCCACACTTGTTTCGTCCCTCCGTAGAGCCACTTTTAATCAAACAGTTACATAACCAGACTAATATCTTTCCTCTCGACATCACGTGGAAACTTTCGAAATGTCGTGTATTCAATTAAGCACGTACGATAGGTCACTTCCAACAGATCTAACGTAAACACTGTTTTAAACCATAATCAGACAATTTTAAACCTCACTGAAGTTATCAGACTGTACTTTTATCGTAATCGTGTGATTACAGACTTCGAACAACACTCCACCGTTCGAGATAAAGCGACACCGACGCCGAACGTCACAAACGAACACTTGCACCTTGGACTCTCCATATTGCCGACCTACATGCCACCTGTCGGCACACGCGTACAAACAGACTCTGGTCATTCAAAGGTAAGGAGAACAAGTTTTACCTTCTAATTATTTATAGCTCCTTAATATTTCCTGTAACACAGCGAAACAAAAGAAGTCAACAGGACGCTAAGCTAGTTTATTAACTTATTCAAAAGAATGCGCCACCAGTCTGTATCCTAAGACAAAACCTCCAATGCGCGCTTAGACCTCCCAATTGATTCTTTACTTCAGTGTTCCATCCACAATTTTTGACGTATTTTTCGTCTCCCAATGCATGCTACATGCGAAGACCATATCCTGCTCCTTAATTAGATCATCCTAATAATATCTGATGCACAGCACAAATTACGTAGCTCTTCTAAAAATAATTTTTACGAGTCACCTGTCACTTCACCAAGGTCCAAATATTATCTTCAATACTTCGCTCTTAAACACACTATTCTCTATCAAATCTAAAACTTCTTGACGATGGTGAAGAGTCAATTGAATAAAAATTTTCTTGGATGTTATCCATCGTCTAGTAAATATAAAACGTAAAAAACGACGTTTCGGAGATGGGACTCTATCTCCGTCTTCAGGTTCCTACACAGTTGGGCCCACTAGATAGAGCTAATCCCTATCTCCGGACGATTAGCTCTATTACCTTAAACCAAGATTTTATTCAACAGCATAAGAAGAAATAAACGCCTGTAGTCAGTCTTGCTGCTGAGGTGCGTTTACGACAGCGTGTATGTCCTGATGCAGTTAAGGGACCAAATTTTCATGAAACTCGGCAAATATCGTGCCACTGGCGGCGACCTTCCCGTTTCGTATTTTATAACTTCCTGTATTCGACAATACTAACAATAACTTTGTAAACTTCTGAGGTGTGGGCAAAACTGGAAAAAATCTATGTCGGATGTTGAAATTTTATACGACGTTATTTTTTTATTTTGGAATGTTGGACACTGTTCACTGTCTGAGGTATATTTGATATAAACAGCGTTTCGGGAGTTAGCTCAGCTCCTATCTTCAGGAAGGCAGGTTGTCTTTAAGTATCACAGCCATCCACCTAAAGACGGGAACATAGAATTTTATTGTGACCTCAACATGAACTCGGATGTGAATTTTGGTTGAAGATTTCTGTCTTCTGGGTTGTTGCGCTGTGTAGTCTGGTCGATGTTTACCAACGTTTCAGAGGTCATACTGCCTCCATCATCAGGGCGATGAATATGAAGATTTCTGTCTTCTGGGTTATTGCGCTGAGCAGTCTGGTCGATGTTTACCAACGTTTCGGAGGTCATACTGCCTCCGTCATCAGGGCGATTCAAATCTAGCACGGCTCAATAACCCAGAAGACAACAATATTCAAGTACGACTTTGTAAATACGTACTCAGTACAAAGAATAACAAACTACTTTGAAATATTGCAATGAGAGTAATTTATTCTTTTGAGCGTGTGCATAATTAAAGTTTAACTGGTGCTTAATTAAGACGCTCTTTTAATCTCGGCACTAATAGGAATTGAGTGATAGTTTCAACCCCCGAGGAAGACACTCGATATAATCACTGGAGCCCTGGAGCACGTCCGAGCGTTGTAGGGAATAGAAAACATTTCACCCCTGCATGAATTCGATTAATCGTCATCCAATCTGCAACCTAGTTTCCATATTGACTCTTCTTAATACGCTGTGGTCTTACCATATCGATATCTATCAGCGACATCTGTCACGATATCGACTCTTTTGCTCTCGTACGATCTATTCATGTAACTAACAGCCACAAAGTTCAATTTTGTATCGCCCATCTAACCACCGGCTGTGACGTATCGTAAACATCAGCTGAAAAGCTGATCGCTCGACCGCGAACAACACTGTGTGACGTAACACTGTAAACTATTCATCCGAAGCCCGGAAAAGAAGGAACTCCCAAAATTGACTTTTAAAATTGACGTCGTTAATCAATAAGAACGATAGACAGTACATGAAGCTCCCGAGGAATGTGATAGTCCCTTTCCTGAATAGTCTCGATGCAGTTAATTTGTGTTAGTCAGATACGAATTTCCCATAACACAAAATAAAAACTTTCTATGTTGGGGGGGAATTATCGCTTTTCGAAACCAAATTTGAAAAACAAACAATATTTCGATTATTTTGACAATATCAAAGTAAAGTAAAGGAAAAAGTTGTCTCGCTACACGCCATGCAGACGTTTGGGGGGGGGGGTTAGATTAGTGGTAGACTGTTAGAAATATTAGTTCCAGCATAATAATCACTATTTCGAAAACATGAGAGGTTGGCGTATCTTCTACGAAGTTCATTCTTATTCATTGGACAATTGAATAAAAATTTTCTTGGATATTATCCATCGTCTAGTAAATATAAAACGTAAAACGACGTTTCGGAGATGGGACTCTATCTCCGTCTTCAGGTTCCTACACAGTTGGGCCCACTAGATAGAGCTAATCCCTATCTCCGTCGAATAAAAATTTTCTTGGATATTATCCATCGTCTAGTAAATATAAAACGTAAAACGACCTTTCGGAGATAGGAATTAGCTCTATCTAGTGGGCCCAACTGTGTAGGAACCTGAAGACTGAGATAGAGTCCCATCTCCGAAACGTCGTTTTACGTTTTATATTTACTAGACGATGGATAATATCCAAGGAAATTTTTTCACTATACTCTGTGAAACGAGATTTCACAACCATGCAAAACAGTAAGTGAAATTATAATTTTTTGCTGTAAATATCTTTAAGTACTTCTTAACTTCCAATTGAGGTCAGCCGACCAAAAGTATAGATGGCAAAGTGACGTATCAAATATAACGAACATGGACTCCTTGTTTATAAAAACATTCCAACAAAATCCACTTTCTATAAAACTGTATATAAACTTGTGCAGTTATGAAGATTGTACATGGATGCCAACTCCGGTCTTTCTAATGTAAAAGCTAGAGAAAAACATTTATGATAAAAATTTGAAGTTGGAATATCGTTCATAAATATCTTTATCTTTGTATCTTATTAATTAATCTCTACAATTTAATACTACTTTCTGGTTATTATACGAAATGATAAAAAAACCTTTTAAGCCGAATATCTTCGAAATGACAAAATATGTCTTTCAGGAAACAGGGTTGGTACGTGTGGACTACATTTATCTAGCTTTGAATAGGGACCGGTTACGGGCTTTTATGAGCACGATAATGAACTTCCTGGATAGCTTACCGTGTTATTACCTTCTTAAGAAGGATTATGTTCCATAGTTACGTAGATTCTTTAAAAAATAAAATGGTTTAAAGTTACTGACTTAAAGTGTTCAAAAGAGAAAATTATCACGCCATTATCTTATCGAAAATATAAAACAGAAAATTTGATATACTTAAACGAAACGTTTACTCAAAATTTGGGAAATCTTCTGTTAAATAATTTCTGTTTTCTTCTGCTAAATTTGCAGGTGGTGACTGTTGTAAATACAGCAACAGAGACATCTATTGGGAACAAGCAGAGTAAGAAACAGTCCACACAGCCAATAACCAAGTTACTTCCTATAACATCATTGGAACCGCTCCGTTCGACAGAGACACAGAGAGGAGGGACTTCAAGGGAAAGTTCCAGCAATCTTTCGCCGAAAAGAAGTTCCTATTTATGGCAATTTCCCGATCTTTCTGGACATTCACTTAAGTGGGAAGATTTGGATGAAGTAAAAGACGCAGTGTTAGAACTAAAGAGAGAGAGAAGTTCGTAAAAATACAACAAAACAAATGACTGTATTTTAACCAAATGGATTCCAATCGCTGCATGTTATTTACAAGTTTCAATTCAATCCGCGTTTTCTCGTCTCCTCATTACATCGGTTTTTCAAACAATATTACTTTTATTTATAGATGAAATTTTAAAATGACTATGGCACATTGCGCCGTATAAACTCGTTTATAGGATCAAATATTGTCTCCATCTTTATTTCTAAGGTTTCCATTTTAAGGACTTAAGGTGGAGACAACACATTTCTCAGAAACTTTGATTTATACCGAAGAGTGTACGAGTCTCCAAGGACATTATAATCCTCAAATTCATAAAACGCTAACATGCAATCAATCCTGAGAAAACTACATTTTTGTTTTTAATAATTTATCAAGTTTGTTTCATAAGGGGACGTTCACCGCAAAATTCAATTTTAAATCGCAATTTTTATAACAGAAATATTATTAGTTGTATGAAAATCTTTTACGAAAAATTTCAAGACATGTATCAATCGAAATACATATTAAACGTCGTTTAATATTTGCATCACCATAAAGTGATCAGTCAGAAAGGCGTATGAATACAATGTTTTCTGAGAACAAGAAGTTAATATTCAGTTACGATGATGGTACAAACTGAACACGATAATAAAGGAATTAGATTAGTTTCCAGTGATTATCCAACAACCTATAAAATAAAATGCTTTACTATTGTAAACATCCAACTTTGTGTATGTCTTCCTAGGGGCTGTCATAAAATTTTGTACCTACATAATTTTTAATGTAAATGTCAAATTATGAAAACTAATTTAATAAGACATTCAATTTATATATTTTGAAATTTACGTTTATAAAAAATTAATAAATTTGTTAAAATATTCCATTATTTTGAAAGTTACAATATATATCTGTGTCGAATAAAACGTTCACAGAATAATAACCCAATTAATATGTTTTTAAATTTTGTATTTGATTATATGAGATAGTTTGTGGATGTTCGATAGAAAATTCGACATATGAAAATATTGCAGTTATTCAAATTTTAAAATATGTATGAGAACGACCTATCCAATTTTCCTGGATCTAGGAAATTTAAAGCTAACAATTTTAAAATATCTTTTCACGTGGGTATGAGATATACTTTTGTGCACTTTATTAACAGTAACTTCAATTTCACATGTTCAGTTGGACTGGAAATATTTCTTCTGAAGTTCTATATTTCTATAATTTAAAATAACGTAAACAATTGTAAGAGACTGAATAGTATGTATTACGTATTTGGTAAACATCTTGTCCACCATACGTTTTAAAGTAAAATGTGGACAAACTGAGAATATGTAAATTAGAAGCAGGCATAACGTATTTATTAATCCTGCTCATAACTTAATTATATAATATGGCAACATGTCATATAAAAATAATTATCTTCGTACATTTCTGCATAATCTCGTCCTAAGCAAAGATTTAAATATGCAGAGAAAACAGTACGAAAACATTTCAGAGAGAGAAGCAATATTAATTAAATACTTTATATTCATCAGTCTGACGTTAAATTTAAGTAGTATTTTTGTGTGTCGTGAGTATGAATAACATTTCGATGACTAACAATAATTCCATAATGTGTGCGTATTAGTATTTATAATACAAATAGATGTATAATTGTGTTTTGTGGAATAAATGGAACATTGTATTTAGTATTAATTTCAAATTTAGAACTATATTATCTATTTTAAATTTAAGCACAATGTAGGTACTTTGTTACCGATCTACTTTTCACATTTATATTTCTTTAATAAATATTTTTTCAATATATATTGCTTTTGTGAAACAGCAGATTAAAATGTAAACACATTCTGTGTCGCCTCTTAAATATTTGGAGTAGATTACAGCATAACTGAAATGGTTCATAATCTGTACAATGATATCATGACCAGCTTTTGTGTTACCATCTAAACCAAGACTGACAAACACCCGTTATTTAAAGCGAACAGGCTTCCAGACATGTGGAAGAATAATTTAAATTATTCCTGTAACAGTTTTGGCATTTATAGGAAATTTACATGCGTCTTCCTTACTTATAATTTAAGAGTCTAAATATTATTACAAAAACTCACCGGATTAATTTAATTCTGCCTCATAATAACTACATTGTATCAAGTTTATAAAAACGTTCGTATATAAAGCAGTTTCATTAAAACATAGGAAATAAATTCAAAGTGTGTTGCTGAATACAATGCAACTAATTTCTATAGCCCTTGCTTAATTAAATCTACGTCAAAACCTTATCTGCTATTAGTGCTAATTTTCTGTTGGCTGCAGAGAACTCTAAAGATGTAATTACAAGTTAAATATAATAGAGAAACATAGAAAAAATATTTTTTCCTCAGTTATTTATAAACATACTCCTATGAATATCACCATTTTTAATTTAACAATTCATTAAAACACTGAAAACATGTTATGAGAATTATATTTTGGAAGACATCTTATCCTCTTGATCCAAAAAACTAAACCATTACATACGTCGACAATGTCACTTGTTGAAGTATTGAATCTAGTGTAAGTGTTAAATATTACCACCACTAGCTTCGTGGCACAGTTAACAGCGATATGCAACTAAAATATTTTATAAATTATTTTATTATCCGTAATTTTAAAAATTCCTTACTAGTTTTACGATTATAACATCACGTTAAAAATATTACCTCACATGGACCAAAATCCCTTAACAGCAAATGATCACAACCGACTAAATCGACCAATCAACACTTGCTTGTCATACATATTTAACAGTAGCGCCTAAAGGAACACGATGAATTTTCATCTAACTTGAACATACAACACCTGAAAGATGCAAACTCTGAAGTTTCAGAACTTTGAGTTAATATACGAAAGTGCTAAGTCTGAAACTGAAAACCCACTTACACGAAACTTCCCACGACCTTAAGCTACTGAGATTTTATCGCATCACTTGAAATTATGTAAGCTTCCAGCAAACTTCATAAGAAAAACTCCAAATACAGACGCATAAACTGTGATGAACTCAAGACTCAAGCCTTAATTTTACCTTGAGTGCTTTCTTTATGCAAACAGATCAAAGAAAATTAACAACTGTACAAACTATTTATTTTTTATTTAGTGTTCTGTCTGACGACAGGTCCATATGAACAGGATCCTTCCATCCTCTTCTCGGACTGGGACCTGTTCATATACGTTCTTGGCAGATGATCCAGAAGTGGTTTGCCATTGCCTTCTTCTGTGTGTGAATGGGATGCCACGGAGAAACCGGGGAAGCCCCCGGAGGAAAACTCCGTGTTGCCTAGACCACGGCCTTGCCCAACACAAGTTATAAATTTGGGCACCGCCGGGAATCGAACCCGAGACCCCAGGATTACAAGGCCAGCGTTCTAACCGCTAGACCACTATCGAAATATTTGTGTATAATTTAAAGTTTTGAATTATACAGTTACGACACTGAAATTCAGAATATATATATGGTATGAAAATAATATGTATAGGCCTATAAAATATTCGAACATAAGATAAAAAACGAGACACAAAGCTGAAGAAATATTCCTCTTGAAGAACTTCATAAATTATACTCTTCACCAAATATTATTCTGACGATGAACAAAATATGTTTGGCGTGCATGTAAAAGGTTTTCAACACATTATAAGTACGCAAAATGTTCTTATCGGAAAATCTTAAGGGATAAGACCATTTGTAAGATCCAGAAGTAGACCTATTCAATATGATAATATTAAAATGGATTTTAGAAAAAACTGAATCCTTATGATTTATATTTGAAATGGGGTCTTGTGGACACGGTAATAAACTTATAGATTTCATAAAAGGTGGGAAATTTATTAACTGTGTGACAAGAGCATTGGCTTGTCTACTAGAATGTAATAATTCAAATACACTGAAAATATTTGAAAACGTAGTTGGTATAACATTTGTAATACAAAACTACTTACGAGAAAATCACGTATCAATAAACACCATATTTTTGGATTACTCCCCTAACCTCATTACAATTATTTAATCAATAAGTTAAATCACATAACATGAAATAGTCAAAATCTATTCCTGCTCTAAATTGAAAAAAAATAATTCGTTAAAACTTGATATTCAGAACTCCAATAACACATAATTTAAGAATATCTGAACGAGAACAAAATATAACACAATATAAATCTGACGTTCACCTCTCCGGTAGTAACACCTTGAATATGGAAGCAGTATGTTCCTCCGAAACGTTAGTGTAAAACTAAGAGTCCACACGGTGTTACTACCCAGATGTCACACAATTTACATGTAAATCCGACAACAGCTCGAACAAAGGAGAATAGTTGCTTTTGAAATAGCAATCCGAATATACTTGTTTCCTGACACACGTACTAAATTTTATAAGATCATAACACAAAATATCCCCCCCCCCAACGCCTGTCAATCTATCATGCTAAGAATATAAATTTTTAGATAATTTAATTTTACCCTCGTGAACAATACGTCATCCATTGCAGCTTCCACTTAGCAAATTCCAATATTGTTTAGTCATCAACAAACCATCCTTCTTCATCTGTTAATAATTCATCCCTCTGTCCAGCAGCCCTTAGCGACAAGATACCGCATCTGAACTACAGCCCCTTGGGGGTGTGTTGAGTTGGAGAGGGATGAAGACTGATTGATATTCCACCCTCGATCGCAAATAGAATAGATTCAACCACAAGAAGACACAATTCGAAGGGAGGTATAATGTTTATCACGTAAAGATGGGCTAGAACAGGGGTGGGGAACCTTTTCATGTTGGAAGCCCGCATTAATTTAGCTGTAATCAAATAAGGTCGCATTCAAGAAACTTCAATTAGATATACTTAAAAATGTACATTATTTTGTAAATATCTAACTACTATGTACTTAATAATTTCAAAAAATATAAACTATTTGTTAATTTTAAAGTTAACTAATCTTTTAATGACTTTGTTTGTTGGAAAGCATTTGAATGTTTGGTTGCAGCATGGAGGTCCACAGTTTCAGTTCATCCTCTAGATGGGTATTCGTCATTTGTGACCTTAAGGGCGCCTTGAAAAATGTATTAATAAAAATAAAAGGATTTGTTCTGTAAAATTTAGATTCAGTCAAAAGGCCGCACTTAAGGACCTAGAAGGCCACATGTGGCCTTAAGGCCGCAGGTTCCCCACCCCTGGACTAGAGTAAAGCCAAGATTAGTAAATTCGAGATACCTCTATGACACAGTTATTGATGGTTAAGTTTTGGTGGAATTATAAATTATTTTATCTGTCATCCTTAAATCCAACATCTTCGTTGAAATCAGAAACCAGGATATGTTTCGGGTTGAAATCGGCGACATTCTATCGCGCTTAGTTTACGAGTTACTAAAACAGCCCTCACTTGGTCTCAAACTCAGAACATTTTTTTCGGAGCTATGATCTTTCTATAATGTTCCTGGTCTTAAGATATAAACATACCAGTTTCGGTGAAAATCGTTGCGTTCGAAGTCGATTATAACCTAACATACATTTTCGATCTTATTTTTTTTGCATTATTTTCTGAACAGTGTTTCAGAATAAACCAGATTATTTAAATACGCACGCGCGTTGTGGTTTAGGTTATAGAAAGTATGTTAATCTTGTTTACTTGTCCGTCCATCATTCTAGACACGCGCAATAGCGGTGCGAGAACTGTGCTCTCATATGGGTCAGAGATGGGTTGATGATGTCGGTTAGAATCCGCAAATTTCCCGCAAGAACACTATTAGATACAGATTCCGAAAAATAAATAAATATAAATTTGTTCAATTTTATCAGTCTAATCACAATAAAATATTATTATTAAATATTAAAATATTACAATTAACATTTAAATATTTAAAATATATTAAAATGATGCTCTCTATCGAAATGTTCGATTTACATTAGAGCATCAT